CTGGCAGTTTGGGTTCCTGAGCCAGCTTGTTTTCAACCTGTTTCAGTGCATCTGCTCTGTGCTCCCCTGAGTCATGTAAATGCTTAAAGAGTTTGCAGGTCTAGGAAGGCATTTCTGGTCTGCTTGCAAGAATGCTAAAACTCAGGCTCTCCACCAAGCTTTGGTGGAGCATGAACCTCTTAGGAAGAAATGGAGACCTCAGCTGAGTTCTCCTGGAATGGTTGTGGATGGTTATATAGGGACTGCTCCCTCTGGAGGGGATAGGCTTGGCCAGCTTCAGCAGGGAGGATTTGGGCAGAGCCACACAATAAATTTTTTTTCGAAATTTGAGAGTTGAGGGATGGTAAATCAATTTGAATTGAAACATCCGGAAGCTTGTTGCTTAACTAGGGAGAGGGAATGAGAATGACTGGGTTGTCTTGCTTTGCACAGCTTGAACTATCAGGAAAAATGAGCTCGAGAGAGTAGTAACTAAAACATGGAAAGGTGGCTAAACATTAGACTCCCTGCCGTTGCTTGGCTTAAGTGTCACAGGTAGGTGGTGTCACATTATCACCTCACCTGTCTCCAAAGGGCAAGGTGAGGATGGGTATTTCAAGGTCAGATTCCAATCTCATTTTTGTATTCCAGTGTGGTGCCACTTAAGACTCCGATAAGAGCAAAGTGTGTGGTTCTTTTGTGATTACCATCTAACCTCAGTTTTAATAACTTGAAATTTCTTATCCGCTGTAGGGATATGTCAAATAGAAAAGCTTCTTAAGTTAGAAACTAGCTTAGTTTCCCTAGAAACTGAGGAATTCACCTAGCTTGCTCTGCCCATCCTAACTTGTTTCTCCTAAGAACTAATCCCAAATGCAAAGCAAAACCATTTACAAGTCACACTACTGTAGAATGAATATTTTGACCATACCTTTAATATTAAAGAGGGAGGAAGGAAGGAGGTTGAGTATTGTATCATTCTAGTTTGTTGTAGCTATTTAAAAATCCCCGAACTTGAATGGTGGAGGATGTGGGGTTTTTTTTCAGTTCAACAGTTAAGTTGGACACCTTAGAGCTGCTTCTAAGCCACCAATCTGCTGCTGCAACAAAGAGGTAATTTAGCACTTACTGCATCTGTGCTTTGGGCTAATGGCTTTGGATTCTTAACAGCTTTCCTAAAAACAGAACAAAGAAATGGACACAACTATCCCTGAATGAAAAGCCAGGTTTTCTGTTTTGCATCCTGTTGCCTTCCAGCCAGGGTACTATGGTCTGGCACACGAATCTACCCCTTCTCCAAGGTCATTCCATGTCTCGGTGCTGGTTTGTTTCTACCAATTCACAGCATATTTCTTTTGTAGAAATTAAACATGTGCAGTCACTCTGCTAGCCTCAGTTCAAGTGGGGCTGAAGGAGGTGCTCATCTTGCAAGATCAGATTTCCCGAAGGAGGACAGAAAACCTCCCTGTGTCTGTTAGTGAGGTGGCCTGAGCTTGTACTGGTTCTGTATGAGGCTGGTGCTGTTTGGTGCCCAGAGTGCTGGACTGGGGAGCAGGTTGGCTTTGATGCCCACGTGCTCCTCCTGCTACCTTGCTCTTCCTGTGAATCCCCATCACCAGTACGAATAACCTATATAGGTCAGTAGTTTAGGAAAAACATATAATATTCAAATCTTGCTAGAATTTCTCTTACAGTAAACTTGCTTTCCAGGCACTGATTTTTGATCAGTGCTTACCATTTGGAGCCTGATTTTTTTTTTTTTCATAATATTCAAATCTTGCTAGAATTTCTCTTACAGTAAACTTGCTTTCCAGGCACTGATTTTTGATCAGTGCTTACCATTTGGAGCCTGATTTTTTTTTTTTTCCTTCTTCACATAGCTGGATGCTTCCAGGCCTTGAGCAGTGGAATATGCTGACCCTGGCAAGACAAGCAGTGGTGGGGAGTGCAGCAAGGTGTGTGGTCTTTGGAATTTATCATGGTGGCTTTTGAAATATTCGTAAATTAAGCTAGGTGAGGTCAGGTCTGCAGTACAGATGCCATAGGACTTTTGCCAAGCCGTTACACAGGATAAGAGCTAAGCAGTGGTCAGAAGATCACTGTGAATATGAGACTGCTGCCGCGAAGAGCCAGTGGGGAAGGAACGTAGTGAGAGCAGGCAGAGAGTCAAATTAAAGCTGCAGCTTGAAATTGCTTGTAAATAAAGATGAATGAAGGCGTGAATCCACACATACTGCCAGCAAATTCATCATACAATTAAAGGCTGAAGCAGCAAATTAACAGTCAAACACCTAACCTGCCACCCATGGTGCTCCTTTCTTGTATGCTGCATGTTAACTGCATGTTTTAACTCTTCTTCATCAGCTTTCCTTCCTTGATCACTTTATCTCAATACCAGGACTGCTTAAAAATTACTCTTAGCTCAAAGTATTGTAAGAGAAAAATTAATTTAGTTTAAAGAATATAAATAAGAAAAAAATAGCTTAAAAATGAATTGCTGATTGATTTCCTGGGTTGTTACTTTTTCAAAACCAGCTTTGGCATTGACTGAGATCATTTAAAATAAGGTATACTTATCCCAAAGTAAGATTTTGCACAGTGTTTGTCAGGAATGACTATTTTTGAATAGCTCCATTTGTGGACGAGCCTATAATCCTTTAAGTAAAGAGGCTGTAGGAAAGAGAAAGGGATCAATTAAAGGAACATACAATATAGTTGAGATTTCCATGTTCCGGGCCAATGTAATCCCAAGAGACCGAGCAAATTGTAAAATACTAGCCATCTTTCAACAGGAGACTTAATGTGTTTTCAGAAAATATTGCCTGTGTTCTCTTGCCTGGAATTTCATTAACATTTGTCCTCCTGTTACATAGTCTGACCCGACTTAGCTCCTTGGAAACAGTTTTATGCTGCATGGGATGCACCATGCTATGTTGGAAGGGAACTCTTGCTGAAATAACAATTTGGCTGGTAGATGGAATTAATTTCTTAAGACTTTTAAAATAAATGTATCAGCCTCATAATGGTGGAAGAGTTTGGTAGGATAGATTGTATCATGCAGATAATTGTGTAAGTTGAGTTAAGGGCCTGCTCTTTTACTTTAAGGCTGTTTATGTTTAAGACTGGTAGCAGCTGATGGTTCAAGCACTGAACCTTGCTTAAAAGCACCAAGATGGGTAAGGAAGTCAAAGACTGAAACTTTGTAAAAAGAACTTGAAAATCCCTGGGACTTCAAGTTTGTGCCTGAGTGCAAAAGAGAAGGGCGTAACTACTCAATGCTTTGAGTAGTTTGCTTTAAACCAACCAGGCAAAACTGTATGTTGATTAAATCTGGTAAGAGCTTTTTAGTTGTGCAAAATGTAAGCCTTGTTGGCTTCACAGACTCTCCTGGGGTAAGCTGATCGTAATAGGGTGATAATGTTCCTTCTTGACAAAAGAGAGCGGCCGTTTTTTCCAAGGTGTAACTGATGTGGGAGATGGACAGCATGTCCTTGGACAGCTGAGGAACGCGGTGTGGGGAAGGAAGTCTAAAGGTGAGACAAACCTGTCTTGAGCAAACTCCTTAAGGGACGGACAAGTAGCCAGCTGAGACCTTCAGGCAACTGGGGGAGGAATGTTTGGTGAAACGGCCAGTGAGAAGAAGCGGAGGGTGCTCTGGAGCAGGCAGACGAGAGCTACGGAAAGTGGCACTTGGCAGCAGATGTAGGTTTGAGAGTAGCAAAGGGAAGACCACCCTGCAAGAGGGCTCCGCACGTTCCAAGCAGAGTCATTGAATCTAGAAACACAAATCTTGAATATGTTTTTGCGGCAGCTCCGATATTTCAAACACTTGCAATGTTCAGTCCCTCTGAAAGATCTCATCTCTGAAACTATGTGTTTTTCAAGCCCTCGGAAGTGCTGAGATCTAAGGGATCTTGCTGGGTGAGATTGCTCTTTGAAGAAATGTTTCCTGCCAGCATCCAGGGGGGTGGCAGTTAATTTAATGAGGGCTCTATTGTGTCAGTTAGAAGAAAGGACGGGACAAAGAACTTGGCTTTGTCTAAACTTTCCCATCCAAAGTCCATTCGTCAAAACTTATTCCCTCCATGGGCTTTAAACCAGTAGTGGAGTCGCCTGTTCTTGACCCCAGCAGCTCTCTGCAGGGTTGATTTTAACTATGCCAGAAGGGCACATCCATGGTGCGTGTGTGTGTGTGCATCCTGTGTCCATGGAAATAAAACCTCAGGCTATTTTGAAAATGAATGCTTCCTCTCTGGGGTTGGCACTTAAAGCAGAAACAGATAGTGGGCAGTATGTGTAATGGGCATCCTCTTGCCATCCCTGAGGAGGATTTCATTAAAATAGGTGCTGTGCTTCTTGCCTCTGCTTCTGCTGAGCCTTAGCAGGTAGCCCAGCCTGTGACAAACATGCACGGGGGCTGCCGCAGAGCAGACTTGCATTTCCATCCCATCTTGATCAAAGAGACAGAGATTATTTAGATGGAGGCTTTACTGGTGCATGAACTATTACAGCTCTGTGATTGCAGCAGTTCAACTTTATCCAAAGAAGATGTGAAACCAAAGGGCAAACGTTTATTTCGTGTTTCCCTATCTTCTCTTAATTTTCGTGGAATGGGAAAGGGTTAGGCAGTTCACTTTCTGTCTATAGATACATCCCGTGCTTTTACCCCGTCTCCACCCTATGAAACATTCCCAATCCAAGAGTCATGGCCAGAGCTTCAAAACAATTATTTGGAAGATGAAATACTCTGCCTATCTCATAATATTGCATGGAAAACGTTCAGTTTTTCTCTTCTATCAGACAGCTGAATCACTGTGAGATCTAAAGAACCAAGCATATAAACAGAATTTGGGGAGGCCAGGGAAAGCTGTGTTGCTGGATTTTAGGATTGTTGAAAGGTTCTGATTTGAATCAAGATGGAAAATTCCCCAGCTTTTTCAAGATTTGGAGAGAACCTGGGCAATTTAAGATCTCTTTGATTTTTAGGCTTGCCTGTTATTTCAAATAATCCTTCAGTTATCTGAGGAATAGAAAATGTTTTTTGTTTTTGTTTTTTTTCTTATTTCAAATTAAAAATACTGAATGCTACTTACAAAGGAGTATTTGACAGAAATTGTTGCACTCTGTCATATTTATTACCCTGTTTTGAGAAGCACGGTGTGAAACAAACAAAAAACAGAACAAATAAAAATACCTGAGATCACATAGCTATTGGCAGCAGGGGTATGGATAGGACTCATGTAAGAGCATTAAAAAAAAGTCTTTTTCTACTTCCCCTTGAAAGGGGTTTTGGAAATGGCTCCGTTTTTCTTGGCTTTTCTGTACTATCTTGGCACAAACAATTCTACTGACTCTCAAGAACGAGATGAGAGATGAGGCTGCTTTTTCCAGATTGACTGTAGCCTAGACATGGCCTTTGATAAGTCATAGCCTCTTCGTCGTCGTTTTCGTGCAGCAACTTTTTCTCTTAACTGACTTGCTGATTATCTTGTAGAGGCATCATGAGGTTTAATTTAATGCCTCTGCTCTCTGGATACAAAGTTGTAGTGTTGTAAATAAGACTCTTATTTGATTAAGATAACATATATGCAAATGGCATTTAAGAGAAACTCTTCCCCATGTACATTCGTTTAGAGCTATATTTTAAATTATATTTGTATCATGAAGCTCAGGAAAAAAGGTTAAAACTAACCTCCTCGTTGGGAACTTGGTCCTGGAGAGAGACAGTGTTGTAAAGGGTTCAAGGCTGCAATTCAGAAGTTTGCTGAAGTTTATCACATAGTTTTTATCCAGCCTGAGAGCAGGCTTAGCCAGGTAAGCCAAAGATTGCCTGGGAGCTGCTGTGTGAGGTTGCTCTCAGTGCACTGATACTATTCCAGAACAATTCTTTGTCCTTAAACTACTTTCCTCTGTAGGAGAGTAGCTGGGCAATTGCTGTATGGAAAAAATGTTTACTCTTAAGCCCAGGCAGCTTCAAGCTGGTGAATTGGATCAGCATTGCATAATTCTGTATAGGTGCTCCAGCTTTAAGCAGGATTGGTCCCTGTAAGCAGGTGTTTGGGTAGCATTTTAGCGTAAGGTGTTTCTGGTAAACTCTCCTGGGCCAGTGTAAAAAGGCTTTGTGCTTGTTCCTGCTCTGCTTGTAGCAAGTCTTTCCGTTGAGGTAAGCCAGTTAAGGATGAGTTTCAGATATACTGAAACAGAATGTTTAAATCAGTAGGTATAAAAGGCTTTGCTGTGATTTACATGTGAATTTTGAGACTTTAGATGCACCAGTCATTCCCCAGGATCAGCTGAGGTATCAGAGCAGTCACAGCCAGAAAGTTCAAGTCAAATGCAGATCAGGCCAGAAGATGGCAGTCTTGATTCGTGCCGGGAACATCCAAAAATTCATCACTTTCTCCAGAATTGACAAGGAAAAGATTAACTTGACTCTGCACTTTGAGGCGATAGTAATATATAGATAAATGTTAACAAAATAATCACCTTTTTGTCCCTTACTGTCTATTGCAAATAGATGAAGTAAAATGCACTTAAGTTTCTGTCTAAATACTGGATTCAGCAGTATGATCTGGTAATGATTTAAGACCAAAATTTTGAAATTCAGCACTCTTTTTCAGAAGTGGTTAGAGTATTAAAGGCTAGATAGATGCTTACATGTCACACTGCCATCTCTGAGCTGCTCTAAGAACTAAGAATCCCTTTTTATTCAGCTTTAAGATCAAACTTCATTCAACCTTACATCTTAAAAATACTTGAGTCTTTGTTTAGGTGTCACTCCTTTCTTGTCCATGTGGTGCGCAAGTAGCAGGATTGGACACCGTCTGCTTTGTGCTGAACACTGCAGAATTCTATACCAGAGCTGGAGTTTAAGTACCCTTTTCCCCCTTGAACTTGGCTTGTAGCGTTTTGATTCTATATTTCCGCCTCCATCAGCGACTGGAAATAGGCACCAGAGCTTGCCTGAAATGTGCTCAGGAGTTTGTTTTTGTGGGACTGTGGACTGCGTTGCTGCCGTACGTAGGAGCTGTCACCAACGCTGGAGCTGTGTGCATTTTGCTGCCTCGCTGGCACAGAGGCCACACAGCGTGAGCGGAGGCAGGAGAAGAAGTTGCACCCGTGGAAGTAAAGCCCGAGCACCTGCAGAAGATGCAGTCACCTAAAGCAGCGTGGGCTGTAGCTGCCTGGCGATCATTGCTCTTCTGCTCTCCCCCGAGAGCAGCACGCAGAGCAGCTCATTTTATCTACTAATCGATGCAGGTAAAAGCAGACACACAGAGAGCTGCTGCAGAGCAGCTCTGCAATTATATTTTTCATTCTTGCCCACATGGTGATAGCTTGCTTAAAACTTTAAGAAGTCAGCAGAGTTCATTAAATACTCTCCCAGTGCTAGAAGGCCGGGTACTAGCTCACACTGGTGTTGCTTGGATAGATTTAGCTCCCACAGTCCCAATTTGAATTCTGTTAACTTTTGCAGAGAGATCACTGAAGTGATTTTGAGCTGAATCTAACAAATTGGAGATTTATTTTCCTCACTCTTCTATCACAGTTTCTACCTTTTTTCTTTGTTTTCTTTTATTCTTTAGCCTTCTAGTCTAATCAGACAGGTGTGAAGCTAGAGGCTCATACCTTCTGTTAGAGGCCAGTGTTGATTGACATCAAAAGAGGCTTGAATTGCTGTTGAGAGGAAGGTACACATGTAGCAGCAAATAAGGTAACAAGTTACAAGTTCGGGTGCACACTGAAAATGTCACCATTCAGCCTGACGTTGGCAGTCGCTGCTTACAGCTTTTTTAGCCCCAGCAGTGCCCTACAGAGTCAGTCTTGATGATGCAGGAACCTGGGTGACACGAGCTTTCATTTCCTTTCATAACTGGACAGTGTAATAACTTTTTTGTTGCTGTTTTGTTCTTGTGCAGCCAGAGATTTCCCTGCAGCTCTGATTCAAATGGGAGAAACATCAAAGCTAATTTGAAGCAAAATGCACCCCAAGTAGTCCGGGGGGAATAGAGCCATTACTTTGTAGCCACCCTTCTGGTGCCAAAACGGGAACACGGTAGATGTCAGGAAGCCACACTGGGCTCTTTGTGTCCCCTTGCTTGAATAGATTGTTTTCATCTGAGCCTTTTCAAAGTTTTCCTCCTGCCTCGGTATTTTTAAGGAATAGAAAACTAATATAAGGACATGGAGTGTTATGAAGCATGAAGTTCTATAAATATTTATGCTGAACTATCACAAAACTTGACAGGTCTTATTTTCTTGACATATTGGGGTCGTTTGTTATTTTTGACCCTGAGAATTGAGAAGCACATGGAGTTATATCTGTTTGTAATGACTCTGGGATATTGTTGTCTGGTAAACTTGTAAGAATGTGACAGGGTAACAGACTTTCTTAATCTCTTTATGAATATGAAACTTCAGCTTTTACTAGGCTATGGACAAATAATCATTTGAGTTACCAGTAGCACTTGACTGTCTTCAGACTGGCAGTGAGTTTCTAAATTGAAGCTGTCTGTGGCACATGTGAATTTAGGAGTTAGTGGCTTAGTTTGCCACTTCAGACCTAGAGATTCCACCTGTCTTGCTTATGATTGTAAGTGTGTGCAGTTAATTTTACTTCTAGAAACCAATTTCAACACAGTACCTTTCTGAGCCTAGCACAGGATGGAACTGAAGAAGGCTATAAGTTATTTCCTGTGTTTTGCCACTGGTCTGGACACCATTTTAAGTAGCTCTGGGGCCGACGAAGACAAGTAGCTCTTGGCTGCTTGTTTACCAGCCCTTAATGCATTTTTAGAGAGATGAAAGGCCTTTAACTCCCATACCTCAGAGTCCTCATTCCTTAAAATTATGTGCATGCAACCTTAACTCTGATCTCAAGCTGTAATGGTGGGTGAATATATTTAATAACAGATCTAACCTTTGTTTTTCTCCAAAGTTAGAATGTATTTTTGTGGCATCCAACAGCAGGCACTTCTCTTGCATAATAAATACATTAAATAAAAAAGAGTCAATCTGATCCTTCCTCTTCAACTGAAATTTGACATGGGTTTAAAGAGAAGCCTTGAATATTTTGTGCACTAACTGGAATGTCTCTTGGTGCTGGTCACTAGAGGGCACAGCAGAACTGTACAGGAAATATATTTGTTGGTCTCCGAGTCCTCATCTTCCTTTTTAGATCTGTACAGTTAGGGGAAAATTCCTGTGGATACTGAAAGGAAGGATGGCTTCAAAATGTTGACTTCATCAGTGATTTCATCACCCAAACCCGTTTCTGCTTTGGAAGAAAAAACTGAAGCATTAATTGTAAGGCTGCTTCTGCTTTTCTGCTAGTAAAACCTTGAGTTTAGAAAGCAGTTCCAAGAGTGAGATGCTTAAGTTGTAAAATCAACTCATAAGTATACAAATTGTTTCCTGGTTTCTCAGATTTCAATACTTGCAACTTTCTCCTAAGCTGCTAACTCTATGAAGAGTAAGGAAATAAAGGAAACTTCTGTCTGAACATATGATTCTTCTACAGGTCGCATGCCTCATACGGGTCCCATCTGAAGTCATCAAGCAAAGGGCCCAAGTTTCTCCTTCCTCTGGTACCTTTCGGATCCTCTCCCACACCTTGTATCATGAGGTAAGTTCAGAGGAAAGTTTCAGATAAGTTGCTTCATTCTTTACACTCAGTGCCATATGTGTCATAATAAGCATTTCTATAACTTAATTGTAGTTCTGTTATGTCCCTGCTCTTTTCCGTCAATTCTTCCATTGCAAATGGCAACTATTGTGATGAATCTGCCCAAGAGGGTTCCTGGATTTTTTTCCCCTGTGATTTGGTCATTCTCCTGTCAGAATGAACAGGAGAATGCTGTCAGAAGACAGGAGAAACTCTTTGAAGATATTCACCCAGATTTTATACAGAGGTGATTAAAGGAACACAAAGTCCATTTAAAGTATTTTAACTGTTGTTATGTAGTTTTGTAATGAAAAAATCTGTCTTGGTAAAAGGCTCTGAGTCAAAGCTAAGAAGCTACACGTGATAAAGCTGTCATCCTACATGTTCTTTTTGCATGGACTACTTAAGCAGATGTGTAGTGGTTTCAAGATATGTATGTATTTAGCAAGCAATTGTAAATAATATTTCTATGCTTCCTTGCCTTTTTATTTTTAAATATTAGGTATATTTTCTTCTCAATGTGACTCCATAATTGATTATTCTGAACAATAGTTAAATGGTCTTTGAAAAGAAGATGAAACTTTCTGGCATTGTAATTCATGGAACAGAGTATATAGTGTTATAATCAATGTAGACAATTTGTTAAAAGTTCAAGTCTGACTTTTCATAAGCCTGTAATACTTGCCTTGTAATCACCAATAAATTGTGGTCTTTGGCAAGATAATTCCCTATAGCTGATGCTTTCTTTTCTTGGTTTATAGGGTATTCAAGGACTTTATCGGGGATATAAAAGCACAGTATTAAGAGAGGTAAAACAATTTTTGGCTTTTTTGCAATTGATTGCTTTTGCTTCACCTTGTGTGTGTTTCGTAACAAGATGCAGAAGTGATTAATTAATTAATTGAGATTAATTGCTATGACCACATGCTTTAAATACTGGCATGTTTCATTCTAGGTTTAAATTATCAGTCTGTAATTTAATAGAGTACTGATAATGTGCACTAAATACTGATAATGTGCACTGAAAACCTGATATGTACAAAAAGTCATCTACTTTTCCGTCTCTCTGTTCTGTTGCTGCTACATCTTGGAAAGAATAAATACGTGTATATTAACGTGATAAAAATTATAAAGTACTGGAAATTTACTCAAGTCTTGTGCTGGCATCACATGAGGTAGGTATTCTAACAGTGGTGAACCACTCGTGTCCTGTCAAGTTTGACACAGACAGATTTAGGCTTTCTTTAAATATGTTTGTCAGCAGATGCCAAAAGAGATTTCTGGTGTTCCTGCCCCTTTAAAGAAATTGTGGGGAAAAAAAAATACCTTTTAGTTATCCAGTCGGTAATGTGGTGTGGCATTACTTAACCTAAATCAGAAGTACCTCACTGTTGGAAAGAACTGGAGCTAAGTATGTTTTGGCCTGCATGGCAGAAAATATTTCCTAAGCTAAAATCTCTTTGTAAACATACTGTGAATTTCAGCATTAGTGTCATGGAAATGTTTGATATTTCGTGTGGTCTGAAGGCAGAGTATAAAAGGAGTGGAAAAAGCACCTCTGTGGGGTTTTGTGATCCTGGATTGTTCCCACTGAGTCTTACAGGTAAGCAGAGGGTCTGATACAGTTGTGGATTTAGCCTCTTGCTTATCCTTGGTGCTGTTCTAAAGCAATTGAGACTGGCAATGAGATGGGCCCAGGGGAATCATGATGCAGGCCAACAGCCTTGTCCTCTCTGGCTTCTGGATCTTCACAGCATCTCTGTGGATTTTTGAATTCCTGTTTTGTATACTGGGTTTCCTCAATGGCTTCCTTGAAACTTCAAACTTTTTGGATATTCTGTTTAAGTGTAAAACCTGTCCTGACATTAACGCTCCTGTAAAATGTGTTTGATCTTCCCTGAGTTTTTTCAGATTAGCCAGTGCCTGGAAAGATTTATTTTTTTCCTTTAACATACTCTGATGAGTTCCCAATCCAAAGCTTTACTTCAGAATCAAACCTCAGGGACTGTCATTTGACAATGCAGAAGCTGAACCATGAGTGCTTCAGATAGAGACAAGGCTTTATTCCTATGAAAACACATCAGCTCTAGTCCAGGAAGGTTTCTTCGCTTACTCTGCTCAACATGATGTGCGTGGGTTTGTTCCCTTCTCATATAACACAGCTGAGTAAATTAGCTTTGGATCTTTGCCTCCTTTTTAAAACACAAGATCAGATCTGTTGACTGTGTTGCCATTGTGGTAATAATGCTAGTTTTAGAGGCATTTTAGGCCCTTCATTTAATAGTTGCTTTAAAAAGCCTTTTTTTTTCCACGCTGAAAACTTTTTAGGACAGTTGTTAGCCACCTCCTCTTACAATACAGGATAAAGACAGATATTGCCTAAAATAAGAAATCCCAAATTTAGTGTTACTTAAAATGCTGACAAATGACAATACACTACAGTTTTTCAAAGCTTTTGAATATTTCAAAAATTAGTTATTTGTGCAGAGATGACACCTGCCTTTCTGAAATGTAGCCTCCACCATAGCTTCATCCTGTACTTATTTTCTGGCTCACTAAACACATGTTATTCACTCAAATTTCATTTGGAGATGGGCACAAAAAGGCCAACAAGTCATTTTGATTTCTCTGAAGGATTCTGAATAAATGAATAAATTTAGATGTCATTGAATACAGATTTTGCATACTAACAGATAGATAAAACACAGTTACAACTGGGTACTATTCCCTTAAAATTTGTTTTGACATATGTCAGAATGGTAATTAATTTGCAGACCAGATTCATAGCACAGAGTGTGACCCTGCTGAGATAACTTTGTTTACTCAAAATGGCAGCACTTTGCTGGAAATTTAATTGGGGTCCTCTGCATTATGTATATTCATAAAAGATCCTTCAGAACTCATTTCACTTGAAGTATTGCTTTTTGGGAGTATCTGTCCAATAGATTGAGAAATAAATTATTACCAAATGAAATGTGCTTTCTTGTCAAAATGAAACAAATCATAGTTGATGTTAAATTCACCAAGATGGTTCTTTTTTATCACCAAGTTGACTGTTGCATTTTCTGAGACTGTGTTGTGGAGCAATAATCCAATTAAGGAAGATCAGTATATAGAACCTCCAGCTGACCTTTAATATTGTTATTTTTTCCTCTCTTTAAATGCCTTCCTATAGGAGAAATCTTTATTTTCAGATAAAAGTTTGTAGTAGTTCAATATTGGGCACATCCGGGTAGCTGTGTGGCATGGTAGTCTAGTGCTTAATTCAAAGCTGAATTTTATGCTTATAGAGTTTGTTTGCATGCTTCATTTCTTTGCTCACAGAAGATAATTTATTTAGTTACAGTGGAGTGGGTTTTTGGTTAGAAGGGCCTCAATGCGTGATTTCTCATTTAAAAAATACGGACTGGGGGGCAGGCTGTATCAGAAGAGGCGGTGAATAGGGTTCCTTTTAGGAAGTGATATTCTTGCACTAATGAAATACTTAAACCAGAAGGTAAAATGTTAATTTTTATCTGTTACTTAAGAATAAAACTCTGCATATTGTGCCAAGCATATCTCAGGTCTGAACAGAGCTCTGCTTGCCAGTTTCTTGGGCTTATGTGAAAATGAATCTGACTGTTTATAAAGCGAGTGAGGCCTTTGAAATCTCTTCTTGCTTTAGCACTGTAATCTTTTCAAGACAACCTTATTCTGCTCTGTTTAATTTGCATTAACTGCTTTGGTGCAGGGGAGTTGTGTAGCCCTTCATTTTTAATTTTTTCTTTTTTTCATTCTTTCACTTATTTTCTCATCGATATTCTGCAAAGATGAACATTAGGAGAGGAAGAATATGGCTGAGTATGTACAGCTCTCTGGAAATATCTCTGAGTGAACTTCAGTGGAGATGTAAAACTTGGGTCAGGCTTAGAAGTCTCGGCTATGACTTTTCCTCCCACCTCCATTTTGATGCCTTCTCTCACAGTCTCCATTGCTTGTGGGTCTTTACATCTTCCTTTGAGATTAGCTACTCCAAACTAATGCTTGAAAATTAAAGGGAGGCAAAGCGCATCATCCTATTGGCAGTAGCAACTTGTAAGAGATGCCTGTGCTCCAAGAGCAAAACTTTTGTGATAAAGCAAAAAGGGGTTTGGTTCTGAGATTGCTGAATGAGACTTTAAATAACTGACAGAAACTGGAGGCTGTGAAAAGATGAGGAATTCCTATGATATCATTTCCAAAGTGAATCCAAGTGAGAATCATCCTTTCACCAGTGAGGACACTGGGTGATGCTGTTTAAAGCAGTCAATAGACAGGTAAAATCAGGCACATTTTCCATAAGACAGAGGAGTTAATTTGTAAAATTTCTGTCTATCTTATAACGAGGCAGGAGTAGACTGTAAATCCTATAGAATTTCTTAATGGGAATGCAGTTCTTCTGCTGAGACCTTATATAAGCAAATGGAGCCAGATTTTTAATTCCTGCATAATTCATTTTATTAACTATGACCAAGTAGAACATCTGTTAAAATTCCATAATGTTAAGTTCATGGGAAAAAGGGAGAAACTCCTGAGTTCTCTTTGGATTTTTTCCATTTCCATCAACATCGCAGGACTCTAACAGATGTCTTAAAGGTCATTATTATTAATGAAAAGACAACCTAGAAGTAAAAGAAGTGCCTCGTGCGGTTTCCCGGGTGCAGTAGCTCGCTGTGCAGGGAGATGCTTTGCTCTCTGCAGGTCTGTGTGCAGGTTTCTGCTTTGCAGACATGGTGCCGCAGTGTCCCACCTGTCGTGTGTTATTGTAGGAGTGAATCTGAATGGGGAAAAAAAGGGATTTCAAAGAAAACTGTTGATATATCTGAACCTGCTCTTGCAGAGCTTGCTCTTGTCTTTCCTTTCAGTGCAACAGCCTAGCTAAGACTCAGAGGTTCGTATTTAAAGTAACTGAAAGATCTGGCAAACAAGTCTCAAGTGAATCTGCCTGCACTGAGTGTGAGAAGAGTGTCCTGAGGCACCTCACCCGCCAGGCTACAAGTTAGCAGTCCTGTCTGTGGAAGAGGGAAAAGGAACAGATTTCCACACCTGATTTTCTCTGATTCACATCTTGACATTTTAACCAAACAATTAGTAGTGGTTTCTGGAGGGCTGCAATGAGAATAGTCCATTTTAAGCACAAGTCCCAAACCCTTTAAATTAGCACAGCTGGTTTTTGCAGCATGTGTAAGTGGGAGCTGTAGGTGGACAAGGGCAGTGGCTGCTGCCTTCAGAAGAGAGCAAACCCTGTGCTGCATTTGCTTTGGCCAGGAGCAGAACAGCTAGTTAAGGGTAAGCAGTTGTTGCAGTACTGAGTGACGGCAGTGCTGGGGCAAACGAGCGATGAATTTGGGCTTGTTCCAGTCTGGGAGAGCTAGGAGGTCCTAAAATCTCATGAGGAATGGATACTCTTGTGTATATGCAGCAGTGTGTATGTGTATACATATACATATATATCTTGTGTGCATGTGTGTACCGATGCACAGAGCCTTCTTGCAGAGGAAGAGGGAGCAAGTAGAAAAAAAGACCAGCCAAAAACCCCTCCCGAGTGACTTATTACCTAGGAGAAGGTGAGAGGCCCTCTGCAGCAGTTGGGAGCAAAATGGCTCTGAAAGGCACCCCTGCTGCACTGTCCCAAATGTAAAAGGTCGGTGCATAGAGGAGCCTGAAAAGGGTTTGCATAAAAATGTGAGACCCAGCTGAGACGTGTTAAAACATTGACTAAGGGAGGGGATCTTTGAGGGTTGATCTCAGCAGAAAACAGTTTGCAAACA